TTTCTTCTTTATCAATTGCATGAACAAAATATGCAAAATTCCATATGAACATTTTTCCTCCACATTATTAGATTATTCTATTATTTTCCATAAAATCAATTTAGGAATAATAAAATTATCATCAAATAAAATATTTTCATTCGATATATAAATTAATTTTAATTTTTCATCAAGGTAATTATCTTATCAAATCTATATTCTCGCTAATGGGGGTGGTTGTAATGTGTGTGTGTGTGTGTGTGTGTGTGTGTATTAAATATTCGCGAAAAAATTTATTATACACGTGTATTTTTCTTTCTTTGAGGTTAAAATTAAATCTAACAACTACCACAATAATAACAAAAATACTGAATGAAATTAAAAATAAAATGAAAAAAAGAACACACACACGTGCAAGGCCAAAAGAAAATGAGGTTTAAATATCAGAGGTCTTTGACAAAATGAGAAAAATGATATCATTGTAAGAATTATTTCATGGTTTTATGGTTTCTACCCTTGATGTTATAATCGCAAATATTCTTATATATATATATATATCTTATCACATGACGTGTTTCTTTTCTTCTTTCATTATATAACTCATATGACATTTCATTTCTTTTTTCAATTGTCATATTTTATATTTTTTTCTTTTTTTTATATACCTATGAAAAAATTTATCCCTTCATTTTTGAATTATTTACATATGTATGTATGTATATATGAGATGTATGTTTTATATACGACCATGCTTATAACGAATGTATACTCCTGAAAAAAAATATACTGGGTATTAAAAAAAGATAAAATAAAAAATAAAAAGAAAACCCCATCTTCCAATACGCTTCAGTGACAAAAAAAAATATTATATCAAACATTCTACGTTAGTTCGTGTCTCATCCATATTCCAATTCGAATCAAGAGAAACAAATAAAATAAAAATTTATACAAATATATATATGTATATATAAAAATGTAATATTTGTTAAATAAACAATACTTTCTTATGGAAAAATATTTTCAAATATTTATTAGGTATTAACCTTTTACCGTTTTGTTTTTCTTTTATTTTATTTTTTATTTTTATTTTTTTATTTTTATTTTTATTTTCTAATTCAAAATATCGATAGAACTTTCTTTTTTTTATTTTAATTTCTTTTTATATCTTTTTTTTTCTTTTTTACTTTAAATACTTTGATCTTATAATATCTTCTGGTTCATCGCGTTATACAAATGGAGGTTGAAGGAGAACAAAGGCACGTGCGAAAGAGGGTCGAATAAAATGGAATGCGTGAGTTCGTTCCTTTTCCTTTTTTTTTTCTTCTTCTTCTTCTTATTTTCCACCCTTCGTGGATTTGCTCTTTCTTTTTTTTTCTTCTTCTTTTTTTTTTTTAAGCGTAACCATGGCTTCCAAGAAAATTGCATTCTTCAGCAATCTTTTCGAGACTCTTCTACTTTTCATCCATTTCACTCTTTCTTTCTTTTTTTTTGCTTTTTTCCCCCTTTGCTTTCTTGTTTTCTTGCTCTCTCTCTTTTTTTTTTACTTTTTATTATTCTTCATTACTACACCTTTTTAAACATATTTTAAATAGACCAGCTTCCCTTTTTTTTACATTCCGTTTATTCTTTTAATCAAATAAAACTCTTTCTCTTGTAACCACCATTAACTACTACTACTACTACTAATAATAATAATAATAATAATAATAATAATACTAATATAATTAACGTCACTTTTTTGTTTTGTATCATGCGTAATTTGATGTTGTTAACTGATATTTAAAAAATACGATACAATTTATTTTACATAGATAAAAAAATGTTAATGTTTAATTAACACGTTTTTTCTTGCGAGTAATGCAAATTATTATTTTATCGTTTGAAAATAGAACAAATTTATTCTAATAAAATATAATAAAATAGATAAATGGAATCTTAAGAATTTCATTAATAGAACATCGATTTTATAGATTATTATACCCACGATTAGGAAAACACAATTGGAAAAAACATAATTAAAAAAAAAAAACAAACATTTATTACCCCCTTCTATCTAATAATTCAATAACGTGTATGTTCTCTTTTATTCAAGTACAAAAATAATAATAATTAATAATATATGATATAAATTAATATAATATATTATAAATAACAGAAATAAAAGAAAAACTACAATTTCATTACGATAATGATTATAAATGATCTTTCTTATTTTTTCTTTTTAGGAAGAGAAGGGTGTAAAGGACCTTCTTGTTTCTCACATAAGGGAAATAATCATAGGGAAACTTTTTTCAAGGGAAAATTTAAGTTAGTATAAACGATATAAAAATTTATATCTCAAATTTTTCTAATATTAACAAAAATTTATGATCGAAAAAGAGAGAAGTATGTGTGTGTATGTGTAAGTAGTAACATTGGCAAAAGTGTTTTCGCAGGTGGTTTAACAGTTTGAACGGAAGTCTTCTTTATCGATTCGTTTCACAAGGGTGTCTCCGTCCATAAAAAGGCAATCGACCTTCGTCGTCCTGCCCTTCTCTTTCTCACCCTTACCCTAAACCCTCTGTCTGTCTGTCTCTCTCTCTCTCTCTCTCTCTTTATCGTTTTCTTTATCCTTATCTATAGACGAAGGAATAAATTTCGTTGAACGTGAAAGTGTTGCTAGCTTGATTTCTTCCCAGAGAAAGTAAAAAAAAAAGAGAAAAAAGAAGAGAAATAGGAAGAGAAAAAGGAAGAGAAAGAGAAAGAAAAAAAGCTTCGGTAAATGCAACGTGACGTGAGAACAAGAAAGAAGATAAATATCGTTTAGACAGTAAACCTAAGTGTACTTAGGACACATTATATATGAATAAGTTAATCGAATATATGTTTCTGTGTATATTATAAACATATCCTAAGAAGCTTATTTTATTATTCTTTACTCTTTTATTATATATTTATTATTTTATTATAATATATATTTATTATAATAATTGTATGCCTTTTATTATAACCTAAGTACACTTAGGACATATTATATATATATATATGAATAAGTTAATCAAATTTATATTTGTGTGTATTATAAACATATCCTAAACATTTCCTAAGAAGTTTATTTTATTATTCTTTATTCTTTTATTATATACTATTTTATTATTCTTTATATTCGTTATTAAATATGAAAAGATTTGTAAACAAATTTGCAAATAAAAATCAAATTATACTCTTTGGTTGTTGAGAAAAATAGATAGAAAAAAGAAAACACAAAATAAACCAAAAAAAGATACAATCACACGAATTGCAAGAAATTATTTCGTAATTTTCTATCATCTTGAAATCATAATAGGGTGTTGAGGGGGAGGGGCTAGAGGAAAAGAAAAAGAAGAAGAAGAAATGAAAACAAGACACTATAAATGTAATATCTCGTATTATTCGTCTATGATCATTATTCTTCCACATTTTTCTTTCTATTATTATTTGGCCCTAATCAAGATAAATGTATACGAGAATGTTATGTGAATTGGGGTAGGATGGTTTTTTCTTTTATATACAACAGGATGTCTTATTTAATATTATTTTATTTTATTACACACGAATGTAGAAGAATATGACCTAACGAGTTTATTTTTCTTGTTTTTTTTTTCTTCTTGTTTACAGATTCTATCAATTATGGAATATGGACTTATAAAGAAGAAGAAGAAGAAGTAGAAGAAGAAGTAGAAGTAGAATGAAAATAGATTAAAAAGAAAAAAAAAGGAAGGGATAAAGAAAAATATGAAGCAAAAATTTATCTTCCAATTTTCCTTCCTGTAGTGTAACGGAGTTTGAATTAGCTCAACGATCGCAAACTATCCTTTTTCTCTTTTTTTTTTCCTTTTTTTTATTCGTGACGTCAACTCTACAAGAATAACAGGTGGTACACTAAACTCGAGTATTGTCGATACTTTTAATTTATTAATTTTCATCCGGTTTGTTGGTTTGTTTGTTTATTATGTTTCTTTCTTGATTATATCATACACGAAACTCGTAAAATAATATTTTATATTAAATTATTTATTAATATTATTAGTTTATTATTTATTATTTCAAATTTTATTAGGATAAGAAGAGTAAAGAAAAAAAAGAAAAAAAATTATTTGACCAATCACAAATGCACAAAGTCTCTCGTAACTTAGGTGATACGATCTTAAAGAACTTTTATACATAAAAAAAAGTTGATCATCTAAAAAGGGTTACTTTTTTAATACCGTTTTAATGCTATTTTATATCGATAATTACTTATATGCATTAAAATTATAATCAAATTTGTATTTTCAAAGCTATTATCTTATAAACAAAATTTCATTCCATTACCGAATTATTAAACATACGATAAAACCCCGATTATTCGAATCGCAGTATTGGGCAGATGGGAAGAGGGGTAGTATTTACTTGCAGTATTGCAAAGCTTTAAAACTCCTATACATAGAAAACCTTATTTGAGGATTATTTCATTTCCAAATTGATATTATTTTATTGCTGAATAGTATTTCATTGTTTTATAGAAATATAATTTTATATTTAAATGATATATTATATCATATATATAATAAGTAACTGTAATTTTATTATTTTAGTTGTTTACTTTTAAGATACAATTATTATGTATTTTATTATTAAGTATAATTGAGAAAAAAAGAAGTAATAAAGAATCTTCTTTTCTAATTATTCAATACGTCTTTGTTCAATTTACAAATCATTCGAATAAATAAAATTAAATTAAAAAAAACCATATATATAAATATGTGTATATATCGTGTAATCCATATAGAAATTAATTAGTAAAATTGGATTATCATCTTTTGCATCCAATTATCCATATAACCAATTATACCAAACAAATTCTCAATTAATTCGTATATCATCGATGTTTTATTTTATTCGTATAATAATAAAATCACCCGCGTGTTTTATAACATTTTTAAATAATTTTATAGTCATTCATCCGACATATGAAATAAAACTTTACAATTATTATTATTAATAATAATAATAGTACTTACAATTAAACGTAGAATTAATTGTAACATGATCCAGATTGTCCAAAAAGAAAAAGAAGATGAGAATTTTTCTTCTTTCTTTTCTAATAATCATTTATTTATTACTTCTTTTTTTTAATAACTTCTTTTGATTATATTAAAAGAAAATAGATATTAGAAACGGCAAACGAACACTATTTTAAAAAACACTTCATACCGCGACGACTATGCGGCGAGAACTGAACGTTCGTTCTCTCTTTCTGGATTTGATCCTACACAAGTACTACTACTATTACAGTGAACCATATAGGAGAGTTACTTTCATGAGTTTGCGCGTTTCAATCCAACGATCAGCCAACACACTCCTCCGATATTCTACACACCCTTACAACCCCTATCTCTAAATAATAACAAACCTGCGGAAATTCCTTTTAAATCTGAAATACATATGTTAATAGATAAAACATTTTATTAACAAATAATATTTGAAGTCTTTTGTAGACCTGTGAAAATAATCATTGTTATATTTATTATGAACTCTTAAATATATATATTTCATATTAAATGTTTATGTGTGCCTTCAGAAATGCATTTATACATATATTATAAAAAGCAGGGAAGAGAATCAAAAAGGTTTGTTGTTAAATCCAACGAAGATCACCTGCAACAAAAAGAAAACTATATTAATCATACAATCGAGTGAAATGAAGTAGCCTAACATGTGAATCGTCCAATTCGTAGATGCACTTTTCAATTGAATTCTCTATTTATTTTTATCAAATATCTATTTACCGTTGCAATGAAATTAAATTTAAACGCGTGATTTTACATTTAGAACAAATAATAAAAATAAAAAAAGTAAAAGTACAAATATTAAGTTACTAGAGAAAATAATATTCATTAATTATTAAGACTAATACTTAAAAACTGCAATATATATAGAAAAGAAAAAAGAGAGATTACTTTAATATTCAAAAAACGATAATTAGGCTTCAAAATGTAATAATAAGGGAATTTAAATATTTTGACTCGAACTATCTAAAGACATATGCATCTTTTTGACGATTAGACACGAACTTGGTGTCCAAAGGAGATGGAATGATCCATCATCTCCACTTAAAACTAAAAATTAATGACGAGCAAAAAGGTAAAACAATAAAATATAAAATATGACTAGAGAGCCATTCTCTAAAGGTTCGAACTTGCTGTTGAACCTTTGAAAATAACTCAATAGCCTCAGTAGTTGCCCTCTTGAGCCACAATTAAGTGGGGGCCTCTTCGGCATTAAGCCTCTTCTTTCTTCATTCCCTGAAAACTGCATTTGGACATTTTCTACGTGCGAACAAGATAAGATATTTCATACTACTTTTGGAAATAAACTCGTATTTTGGTATGATTCTAATTCTCAATTATTACAAAATTAATTTACATTTCGCAAACACTTATTTAGCTCGTGGACCATACACGAGCACATTTAAACGAATGTCCAAGCAGATAATAATTTCCCTCGATGACCTAATAACACTTCGCACTTTTAACGTCGAGTAATAAAATCAAATTGAAATAAAAAAAGTGCAATAAATGCAATGAATTTTCTTGCATTATTTTCATTTTATTAATATGTTATATTTAATTATATCAAATATTTCCAGCTGTAAGACGAAATCGCGATAGTGCGTAGTGCTAATCCTGAAATACTTAAAACTAAGTATCAAATGCATCAAAGAATTTGCGAATTTTATTCGATTCTATCTCGTTTAAGATAAAATCGAAGTAGAAATGAATCTTTCCAATGGTTGCAAATACCTTTGAATCATGATACATAAAGATCACAGAATAGTCACAAAATAAATTAACAAATCAAGCATAATATAGAATGAGATGATAAAATTTTGTAACAATTCTGTATTATAAACCAGGAGGCGGAATTTCCACT